GCCGTGGCCGCCGCCCAGGCTGCCCGGAGGAGGCGGGTACTCGAAGCGGCCGCGCTGCTCGGCCGCCGCCGCGCTCAGCCCGTAGCGTTCCAGGCCGGACTGGGAGAGCCCCGAGGCCGCCTTGGAGGACGCGTCCACATGGTTGAGTTGCTGCTGGGCCGCCGCCGCCGCCGCCGCCGCCTCCTTGGCCGAGAGCGGCACCGCCTTGACGCCGACGGGCGGCGGGGGGCCCGGGGAGCGGCCGTCCTGGAAGCAGCCGTGCGCCCGCTTCAGCTGCCGCGCCGTCTCTATAACGAACTCGATACGGTCGGCGCCCTCGTAGTTGACGCAGCCGCGGCAGACGGGCTCCGTGAAGTCCCAGATCATGGCCCAGGGCATACGGGGCAGGTCGCACAAGTAGCACGACTGCCGCCGGGACGACGACACCTGCGCGGCGGACATGGTGCCGCTGGCCGGGGAGCCGACGCTGCCGCTGTCGGGGCCGCCTCGCTCTTCCCCCGCGGGCCGGAGCTGGAAGGAACGTCCGTACCCGCTCCGGGCGCCGCTCGCGGCCGGGGCTCACCCGCTGTTAGCCGGGGACGGCCGCCGCCGCCCGCTCCCGGCGCTGCTGCCCCGGCGGGGAGGGGATCAGCGTCTGCCGCTGCCGCGGGGGGCTGGGCGGGGGTCGCCTTCTCGCCGCGTCTGTTTCCCGGCGCTCTCTGCCTCTCCGCCGCTGCTCCTCCTCCGGGAGGAGGCGGAGGTGCTCGGAGGAAGACGAGGAGGGGGGGGGGGGCCACCTTCCACTCGCCGCGGCTGCTCGCCGAGCTCGCGCTCCGTTCCCTACGCGCCGATCCGAGCCGATCCGAGCCGATCCGTCCCGCCGACGAGGAGCACCCGGACGGAGCGCCGCGACTTCCCCGAGCGGCGGCGGAGCGGCAGCAGCGTGGCGAGCGGCGCCGCCTGCTCCTCACTCACATCCTCGCCGCTGTCTCGCAGTCCGAGCGCGCTACCGCGCGCCGCCGC